AGGTAGGTAGTACTCACCAAGTAAAGTAGTGTAGTAGTATTTACTAGAATTTTGTTTATTATTTGTTTAAAAATGAATGTGAGTGAGATACAGGCCCTTAAAGTTTTCTTAATCGGAGGAAATTCCGGTAGGTACGGCCCTGGCTTCAGCCTTCCGTCAGCTGTTCCCGCCAAACATCGTTTGTCCTAAAACATATCTTCCTAACATTATTCTAATGTATCAGCCCGCCTTCGGCGGGCAGGGGCATTAAACAAACTCGAGTCTGTCATACATCTACCTAACTAAACAATGACGTCATCAATGCATATTTGGCGAGAACAGCTGACGAAGGGCTGCAGCCAGGGCCGTACCAATCGAAATTTCCTCCGATTAAATAACTTTAGGAGCCTGTATCTCAAGCTACATTGGTTTCCGCACGGAATTAATGCTACCACACGATTCTACTTGGTGAGTACTACCTACCTGACTAAACTTCATGTCTCAATTCCAATGTCAACTAATGTAAAAAATTACCAAAAAAATTAGTGTGTAATTGGATAAGTATTACTTACTTATTGTAAGCCGTAAGTAAGTTGGAGAGATATGTCCACTATTTAATTTTTTTATTTAATTTATATCGTGTGCACAATTTAGTTTTTGAGCCAAATGAATTGTTGTTGTTTAAAGGCTGCATGCATTAAACGCACCTTAAGGAACTTTGTTCGAAAAACAAACAATATCCAATAATATTTATGTATAAAAAAACGTATACAATCGGGATAAACATCGTGCGTATAATTTTTGAAAGTTGCATTCTGTTCTTCCGTGTAGTTGTATTAAATCATGTCTCAAAATTCGCTGCTATCTTTCAGCCGTGGGTGAATATTGAAATGTATCCAAAAACACTTTAGAGACTAACCATCTCATTTTATTTATAAAATTTAAACAGTTTGACTAGTGCCAGCTGGTGTATCGCAAGAGGCAAATAAACTGGAACGTATGTTATTCAATAGACAAAGTTAGCTACGACTTACGTTCACCCTACGTGATTGATTTTAAACAGGGGGTAAAAACAATGGGTGAATGTGTTCTCATAAGTCATGACGGAAGGAGTAGTAGGGATATAAAGCAGAGGATAGCGCAAGGTTGAGGTGCTTTCAATAAAAAAGGAGTCACTTTTATGCTTCTATTAGAAATTCGAAAAAAATCGTTGGCGTTATACGGGTGCAAAACATGGACGGTGGGCGCGACGGAAAAGAACAGGTTAGAAGCGTTCGAAATGATGTTACCGGTGAATGATGCGAATAGAGAAGGTTAGAAATGAAGAGGTATTAGAAAAAGTAGGAGAACAGAGGACTCTATGGAAGTCAATAAGAAATAGGCGAGATAGGTTGACAGGAGACCTTCTCAGGCATGAAGGTCTAGTTAGAGACATATTAGGGACAGAACCAGGAGTTAAGAGGTAGACCTAGATTAGATTGCTATTCGCAAACAGTTAAGGATGTGGGATGTTCTAGTTTTAAGGAAATGCGAAGATAGGAAAGAGTGGAGGTGCGTGTCCAACCAGTCTTAGGACTGACGATCTTATGATGACGATAAGAAAAATAGGCCTTGGTGTATTTTTCTGAATACGTACATAAAAAGTAAAGTAAAAATAATGAAGTATCTTGATTGGTTGTTATTATTTTGGGAGAAATTCCTTGGATAGCTCTCCTATATTTGTTATATTGGTAAGTGGATACTTACCGTTTGACAGTATTGAAATATATTTAAATATACTTATAGCAAAGTAATAATTTCTAAAATTGAACGGTTTCGTTTTTGGCAAACGCACAATGAAGAAAGTCATGTCTTTTTTTAAACAATAAATTTCTGTTCAGATCCACTGATTATCGAAATCGTTTACCTTTCTATTCTAATAATAGCGAGGTGTTTACAAAAAATAAATTAAAACGCATGCAGCTTTCTGCGAATAAAAAAATAAAATTTAAATAAAAAAACATTCTGTCGTTGTTCTGATGGTCTGTCGATTCCGAGAAAACGACATGGAATTTCGCAAATAAAAGAAATCATGTCACTAACCGTTCTGTAATCATGCCTCTCGTCGGCCATTGCGTTGACGTCAGCACCGTAATGAATTAGAAGTAATACTGATTCCATTCCCTAGAAGGAAAATAAAAAAAATAGTTACAGGGTGTTTTATTCGACCATTTTATGCAACAGCGTACTCTTCCATTTAAAGAACCTTGAACCTGAATACACCAACTTTCTCCTTAAGTCGTAAAGTACTTATAGGGAAAGTTAGTGTACCTAGAGGTGTAAGCCGACACCAACACACAATCTATAGTTTATATGACTGAAAACTAGAGGTGGAGTTGTAGCGAAATAGTCTGTGTTGGGTCTGAATCCCCAATTGTTTCCCATAAGTACCATCATAGGGTACTCATATTATTCATTTATACGTTTTTCTTTACACACCTGCGGTTGTCTCGCTGCTTTCATTAAAGGCGTAAGTCCGGCCCTGTCCCGACTGTCAGGGTTGGCACCGAAAGTCAACAGAAGCTCCAGGTATTGCAGGTCGTTGATTAAATTTATTTCTGACCCGAAAAAGTACCGTTTGTTAGGGTCGGCTCCGTGTTCTAACAGGAGCCTGGCGATGTCCATGTGCTTGTTTCTTATCGCCAAGCGTAAGGGTTCGTCGCACAGGGTCGTCCTAGGGAATTCCTCGCCCGTATCTGGACGGTAGTCGACTTTGGCTCCAGATTTTAGAAGTAGTTTCACTATTTCCGTATACCTGCGTATTAAATATGATGGGATAATAAAAATATAATAGGATAATAAAACCTTTGTACTTTGTGTTGTTTTGGAGTGCAGGACTGATAAGCCTATAGTTAAAATTTTCCATATGATTACTGAATATAGTAAAGTTTACCTTAGTCTAAAATTTTGAGCGCTCTTCATAATATGAAATTCGAAAAACATTTCATATTTGATAATAATGTGTTTTATTTGTACTTCACTTATTATTTTTTTCCAAAATTTACGTATGTTATGGTAACAAATGATGTCATGGGCCTAGGTAAGATAACAACTTGAAGCTGTTACTTATAACTACTATACAAAAGAAAAAAAGTAAACAAATTTTCAAAATACGTAAGCCATTTGCATATTGCTACAGCATTTGGCCAAATATATTTTCTACGCTTAAAATTCGATTAATTAATTGATCATGCATCTACTGGGTGCCCTCGTGCACAAAATACAGCTAAACAGAAAAATTATGTTCATATTTAGCAGCCATCTGTTGTTAAAACATTCATAATCGTTATAACCAACTTCCACTGTATTGAGAACAGGATATTCTATATCTTGATGTAGTGATAAACAAAATTTTTTATTATTTTAACCCCGAAAATGGACACGATTCTCCTTAATCTTTAAATTTTATAGACCCCTTTTCGAGAAATTTAATTTACAGCTACTGCACACGCTGTGTTTGTAGGAGTGGTATGTAGTCCATATTGGGGGTAGCAACTATTAATTTGGTCGACGGGGAAGTACCCGCAACAAAACGACTGCTTCAATGATTTGTAGCAATAAAAATATAACTCACTATATCCGAGTTTTGTGTCGTTATTACCGATATTTTAGCGTTGGCTAGAATAGCAAATTTGGGGGGCTTTTAGAATCTGACATTACATCAGAGTTGTGGTTATAACCGATGTTGTTATAACCAACTTTCNGTAAAAAATTACCAAAAAAATTAGTGTGTAATTGGATAAGTATTACTTACTTATTGTAAGCCGTAAGTAAGTTGGAGAGATATGTCCACTATTTAATTTTTTTATTTAATTTATATCGTGTGCACAATTTAGTTTTTGAGCCAAATGAATTGTTGTTGTTTAAAGGCTGCATGCATTAAACGCACCTTAAGGAACTTTGTTCGAAAAACAAACAATATCCAATAATATTTATGTATAAAAAAACGTATACAATCGGGATAAACATCGTGCGTATAATTTTTGAAAGTTGCATTCTGTTCTTCCGTGTAGTTGTATTAAATCATGTCTCAAAATTCGCTGCTATCTTTCAGCCGTGGGTGAATATTGAAATGTATCCAAAAACACTTTAGAGACTAACCATCCCATTTTATTTATAAAATTTAAACTGTTTGACCAGTGCCAGCTGGTGTATTGCAAGAGGCAAATAAACTGGAACGTATGTTATTCAGTAGACAAAGTCAGCTACGACTTACGTTCACCCTACGTGATTGCTTTTGAACCGATGCGGCCTAAAATAGGTTTCTAAGCAAAGAGACAGTCCATTCGGAACAGGGGGTAAAAACGATGGGTGAATGTGTTCTCATAAGTCAGGACGGAAGGAGTAGTAGGGATATAAAGCAGAGGATAGCGCAAGGTTGAGGCGCTTTCAATAAAAAAGGAGTCACTTTTATGCTTCTATTAGAAATTCGAAAAAAATCGTTGGCGTTATACGGGTGCGAAACATGGACGGTGGTCGCGACGGAAAAGAACAGGTTAGAAGCGTTCGAAATGATGTGTTACCGGTGAATGATGCGAATAGAGAAGGTTAGAAATGAAGAGGTATTAGAAAAAGTAGGAGAACAGAGGACTCTATGGAAGTCAATAAGAAATAGGCAAGATAGGTTGGTAGGACACCTTTTCAGGCATGGAGGTTTAGTGAGAGCCATATTAGAGACAAAAACAGGAGTTAAGAGGAATAGAGACAGATTAGATTGCTGTTCGCAAACAGTTAAGGATGTGGGATGTTCTAGTTTTAAAGAAATGCGAAGATTAGCTCAGGATAGGAAAGAGTGGAGGTGCATGTCCAACTAGTCTTAGGACTGACGATCTTATGATGACGATAAGAAATCTCGGTGTATTTTACTGAGTACGCACATAAAAAGTAAAGTAAAAATAATAGTATTTTGATTGGTNGGTTTTTAAATTTTGTGTATTTATCGAACAAAATTTTTAGATCATGTGTGCTCTGGGAAGCCATGGTAATTACTGTTGAACCTCTTATCATTGAAGATACCCAAATTTATATATTTTGAGGTCGGCCCGAAAAGTGAGGTAAAACGACTTTCAATAATAAATAATATTTGCCCAGTGATTGCAATAATGAAAATATACTGAGTGTATTCGTATATATTTGAATAAGTAGAGGCTACAAAGCCCTGACACTTACCCATGTTCGGCTGATAGATGTAAAGGGCTGTAACCGCATTCGTCCACGGCATTAACGTCACAACCCCGGGTTAGCAAAAGTTGGATGGCCTCATAATATCGTTGCCAAACAGCGTAATGCACAGGCATTAACCCTTGTGTAACAGGTTCGTTTACCTGGTAAGAAAAATTCGTCTCAATAATGCCAATAAATTAATTCAATTATTATCCATTAAAATGGAGTGATTTTAAAAATAAGTACTGCTTCTAGAAATAGATTAGATAATAGAGAAGTTTCCATATGCCACTTGTAAAGATAATAAATAGCACGGATTTACGAGGCTTAAGCGTCAATCTTTACGTTGTAGGAAGTTTAATTAAGTATAAAAAACGTAGATGCAGAGAATTATTTAGGTTATATGATGGTGTAGTACATTTACAAAATATTACTCTAAAGTTTCGCAACCATTGTTGGCTTTTCGCTATACTAATAAATGTAAACAAAAAGGCAGAAACGTTTGTTTAATGCTTTTAATGCATGTGGTCCTTCGAGCCGGATAACAAGATTGCAGCGCACCCTAAATCGATGGATGTAGGGAAATACATAAAATGTTCAAACCTTTGCTCCACATGCCAGTAGTATTCTAATTTCGTCCAAAGGCACCATTCTAATTATCGAATCTGCCAGTTCCCTTTGCAAGGGGTTTGTTATGCATTCGGTGGGCATTTTCTGAAACAAGGAGATCGTATTTATTGATTTTGACGCACAGAATTAATTAACATAATAACATAACATGTATGGCAGTATTTTTAGTCTCTTGTTGCTAATTGCGTAATTAGTTAAAAATTGTGTTTTGAATGTATAGTTATTTGCAATACTCAAACATTTCTATGAATCTACTCTATTTATTTGTTTATTGTTTATTTAGAAATCTGTTAATTATTTCTTGAGAAATGCTTGATGATGATTGATTAATTGCTAACCTATTGTGAACGTTTTTCGAAAAATTTGTTTATTCCTTTTTGTTTTATCAACACTGATAGCAGCAGTATCATCTGGGTGTGAGATCGTAATCTTTACCTAAGAGATCTGATGAATCAAAGGGCTTTCCTTCAGAAACATAATTTTCTATTTTTTAAGGTTCCGTATGCCCGAACGAAAAACGGAACCCTTATACGATCGCTCGTGTGTCTGTCTGTCCGTCTGTCACAGTTAATTCGCTCCGAATCTGCTAGTACACATAGGAATTTCGAACGCATAACGTAAATAAATTAATTTTGAACATGGGGTCATTTTTCGGTGGGTCAATAGGAAATTAAAAAAAAAGTTTTGGAAGCTTTACCGTGTATCTACCATATTAAATGAAAGGGCTTGTTGTAAGGGTCTCGAATATATTTTTTTATAATTTTAAAATAAATCGTTTTAAAGTT